TGCAGGTGTGTGTACCTGTGGGTATGTGTATGTGAGTGCAGGTGTGTGTACCTGTGGGTATGTGTATGTGAGTGCAGGTGTGTGTACCTGTGGGTCTTTGTATGTGAGTGCAGGTGTGTGTACCTGTGGGTCTTTGTATGTGAGTGCAGGTGTGTGTACCTGTGATGTGTATGTGAGTGCAGGTGTGTGTACCTGTGGGTATGTGTATGTGAGTGCAGGTGTGTGTACCTGTGGTATGTGTATGTGAGTGCAGGTGTGTGTACCTGTGATCTGTGTATGTGAATGAATGCAGGTCCTTGAAGAGAGACATCTGACCCCCTCTAGCTGGAGTTACAGACTGTTGTAAACCACCTGGCATGGGCACTGGAAACTGAACTCAGGTCCTCTCAGAGCAGCAACAGTCTCTTAACCGTGGAACCATCTCCAGACCTAAGTTCGTTTTTGTAGATGATTATGAAGTAATCGCTCTTTTTCGACAGTGCCAGTACCATTGTTGAAAAGACATTGGTTTCCTGTCAAATTATATTAATTCTTTTCTTGGAAATGTTAATGCATGTGTGACTACTTTTGGGTTTTATTCCTTTCTATTGATCTCATCTGTGGTGGTTTTTTGTTTTTTTGGTTTTGTTTTTTTTTTTTTTTTGCTGTTGTTGTTGTTTTGTTTTTTTTTTCTGAGACGGGGTTTCTCTGTGTAGTTTTGTTGCCTGTCCTGGAACTCTGTAGACCAGGCTAGCCTTGAACTCACAGGAATATGCCTGGCTCTGCCTCCTGAGTGCTGGGATTAAAGTCATGCGCCGCTGCCGCCTGGCCTTTATCTATTTTACATTAATGCTCTGCTATGACTCCTGACATGAATTATGAGACATCTAATGGGTGATCTCTTATGGTATAAGTATTTCATTTGACGATAATCTACTTTTGGACAATCATATTTGAAATACAGTGTCTGTGCTATTCTGGATGTAATGTTAATCTATCTTATTTAATAACTGAGTGAAGAGATTTACTTTAAATGCCCTTATCTTACAGAGACCTGGTAATAAAAGTGAAATTTGGAGAAAGCATTGAGGACTTGCAGACTTGCCGACTCTTAATTAGACATTACATCCCAACAGGACTTTTTGTGGATCCGTATGAGCTGGCTTCATTACGAGAGAGAAACGTGACTCAGGTACAGCTACTGGAGAATTTTTAAAGAGAAATTAATACAGGAGTGCTGGGATTGGATTAAGGTAAAATGGTAGATAAGACAACATTGTAGTTTAAATTCTGTTAAAGTGTCTAAGTCCTTTTTTTTGCAATAGCATAGGTGAATTCTTCAACAAATGAGTGACGATTGTTGGGATTAAGCCAATTAACCCCAGGTAGTTGAATGCTTTTCATTGGTATCAGTGACTAAGGAAGTGTGTGTGTGTGTGTGTGTGTGTGTGTGTGTGTGTGTGTGTACACCTGTGTCTGCATCTAAGAAGATTCAGGATTGATAAATAGTGCTCAGCTTTGTTACCAGGAAAGACACGCTGGCTTCTCGCTTTACTTTTTAGTGTGTATATGTGCTTGAATATGCGCATATACCTATACACGCACATGCGAAGGCCGCAGGTTGACATGGCATGTGTTCCCTCTCGCTCTCCCCATCTTAGCTCTCCCCATCTTATTTCTTGCGGCTGGGTCTGTATTAGTTACTTTCCTAATGCTGTGATAAAATACCAGACTAGGACAACTTATAAAAGAGATTTTAATTGGGATTATGGTCCCAGATGTTGGAGTCTGTGGCAGCAGCTGGAGCAGCAGCTGAGAACTCATCCATAAGCAGAATTCAGAGGCACACCGCTGGGGTTGGGTGGAAGCTTTTGAAACGGAACCGCCTACACCAGGGACACACCTCCTAACCCTTCCCAGATAGCCACCAACTGTCCCCAGGTGTGTACCACCACGCCCAGCATAACAACATGTTTCTAAAGGAAGTAAAAAATAGCAAATTAAAGAGAAGTGAAAATACGCCCTCACAAGTAGTAGGGTGCTAAAACTACTTAGGAAGAAATTCATAGCCCTAAGTGACTAAGAAAGTAGAAAGATCTGAAATAAATAATTAAGGATCTGAGCTTGGCAGTGGTGGCGCATGCCTTTTATCCCAGCACTCGGGGAGGCAGAGGCAGGCAGATCTCTGTGAGTTCAATGCCAGCCTGGACTACAGAGCGAGATCCAGGACTGTTACATAGAGAAACCCTGTCTCCAAAACAAAACGAAAATAACAACAACAACAACAACTAAGGGTCTGGAGAGAAGGCTCAGTGGGTAAGAGCACTTGCTATACAAGCATGAGGGCCTGAATTCAAGTCCCACAACCCATTAATCCAGGTGCTGATAGCAAGCGTCGGTAACCCAGTGCCTCTGTGGGGAAAAGAGGGGCAGAGAGGGGAGCATTGAAGGGATGCCCGGAAGCTCCCAAGCCAGCGAAGCCACCATAGCAGTGACCCAAATAAGGTGGGAGGCAAGGACTGATCACACACACACACCACACACACGCACACGCACACGCACACGCACACGCAAGCATGCACGCACGCACACAGACAAAGAAGACCTCGACTTCCTAAATGCTGGGATTATAGGTATGTGTCACCATGTCTGGCTTTAGTTCTAACACATTTAATTTTTGTTTGTTTTCGTTTTTTGAGGCAGAGTCTGATTATATAGCCCCGGCTAGCCTTGAACTCATAGAAATCTACCTGCTTCTTCTACCTCTCAAGTGCTGGAATTAAAGGCATACACCACCATGCTGAGCTCTTAGCACTTTTTAAAAAACACCTAATTTTTATTTTATTTTTTAAAACTTTTATTTTATTTTTAGTTGTGTATACATATGTGTGTGTGTGTGTTGTGTGGATATGTGTATGTATGTGTGGGTGCCTATGGAGGCCAAAAGAGGAATTAGATCTTCTGGAGCTGGAGTTATAGGCAGTTATGAGCTGACCGACATGGGCACTGAGAACCAAACTCAGGTCCTCAATAAGAGCTCTTAACCCCTCACTGAGCCGTCTCTCCCTCCCTCTCTCCCCCTCCCTCCCTCTCTCTTTCTCTCCCTCCCTCTCTCTCCAGCCCCTATTTTACTTAGTGTTGTGTGCAGGTGTGCATGCCATGGCACACATGGAGAGAACAGAGGACATTTTTTTAAAGATTTGTTTATATTTTTATTATTGATAATTATATATGTGTCTGTGTGAGTGTATGTGTGTGGGTACCCACAGAGTCAAGAAGAGGATGTCGTCAGATCTTTTGGAACTAGAGTTCACAGGCATTTTTAGCTATCCAGTGTGGACACTTGGGTTCCAGCATTGGTCTAGAAGATGGAGAAACACACGCTCTTAACCACTGAGCCATCTCTTCAGGCTGGTGGAAAACCTCTGGGAGTCAGCTCTTTCCTTCCACTGTGTGTTCCAGAGTTTAATGACTTACATGGCAAGTCCTCCTATCTATGGGGCCATCTCTCGGAGGTTTAAAGAAAAAAAAATGTAATTTGTACAGGGCGGTGGCGCACACCTTTAATCCCAGCACTTGGGAAGCAGAGCCAGGCGGATCTCTGTGAGTTCAAGGCCAGCCTGGTCTACAGCGCAAGTTCCAGGACAGGCACCAAAACTACACAGAGCAACCCTGTCTCGTGGGTGAGGTGGGTGGGTGGTGGGGGAATGAATGTAATTTGCTGGTTGGGAATGATGGTGGATGGTGCATACCTATAATTTTAGCACTTGGTAGGGCGAGGCAGATTTTCAAGTTTGTGGCCAGCCTGAACTGTAGAGTAAGTTCAAATCCAGCCTTAGCTAAACAGTGAGACTGTGTGTGTGTGTGTGTGTGTGTGTGT